CATCTCGTGGAGTCAATACCAAGAAGAATCGCCGCAGTATTGAAGGCAAAAGGTGGCCCAATGAAGTACTGATGGGGTGATCATAATAATCTGGCCACTCAGTGTATCTATATCTATCTATATCTATATCTATATCTGTATCTATATCTGTATCTATATCTATATCTATATCTATATCTAGAGAGAGAGAGAGCGCCAGGGTTGTAACATCCACAATGACCAGAGGCTCAACCAAATGCCAGGCTGTGCGCGCAGCAGGCAAGCGCGCTGAACTGCTGACCTCTGAGAGAGAGAGAGAGAGAGAGAGGCGAGGCTAATCAGCAGCAGCAGTGGCTGCTGGCGAGGCTGGGAGAGAGAAGCAGGATGATCAGACCCTGCTTCTCTCTCTCAGCCTTGCCAGCAGCCAAGCCTCTCTCTCTCTCCCAGAGGTCAGCAGTTCAGCCTGCTCACCAGCAGCCTGGGGCAGCTGCTGATCAGCCCCACCTCTATGATCAGGCCTGGAGATAGGCCCAGAGATGCTGATTGGCATAGAAATCAACCAATCAGAACCAAATCTGGGTGAATTGCGAGGAGCCAATGGCTGCCTAGGAGGTGGAGCTTTTGACAGTGACTGGCATAGAAACTGACCAATCAGAACCAAATCTGGGTGAACTGCAAAGACAGAACCTAAAGTGGGGGCTGAGGAGGGGTTTTAAGGGCAACAGCTATTTGGTGTAAGGTGTAAGAAAGTGATTCAATTTTTTAATGACCGGTTTGGCAGTATAGAGCATATGGCTGGCTCTCAGGCTAGATATAGGGATTCTATGTGTTTTTGTCTTCCAAGAGCATCTCCTCCTGCTGAAAAAGGCTTTTCCCCCCAGTAAAGCAATCCTATCCTATATAATCTATCTGTACTAATAAAAGGGTAATATGCTAATTAGACTGGGTCGACTGGCCATCTTCCAGACATCTGACTTCCTTCTGGACAAAGCCATTGTGGTGGGGGCTGAGGCAGAGGAAGTTAGGGGTGATCAGGCCTGCAGGGGAGGGCAGTTAGGGGCGATCAGGCAGGCAGGCAAGCGAGTGGTTAGGAGCCAGTCATCCCAGATTGTGAGAGGAATGTCCAACTGCTGGTTTAGGCCCGATCCTAAACCTGCAGTCGGACATCCCCTGAGAGGTCCCAGATTGGAGAGGGTGCAGGCCGGGCTGGGGAACCCCCTCTGTGCACGAATTTTATGCACTGGGCCTCCAGTTTCCTTATTATCCTTTGTATTTTTGTGATGTCAGTTGTTACTTCACTGCTTTTGTTTCCGATTTTATTTATTTGGGCCCTCTCTCTTTGTTTTTTGATGAAAATGTCTAAAGGTTCATCAATCTCATTTTTCTTTTCAAAGAACCAGCTCTTAGTTTCATTGATTTTTTTGTAGTTTTTTTAGTCTTTGTCATTTATTTCTGCTCTGATCTTTATTATTTCTTCCCTCCTAGTCACTCTGGGTTTTTCTTGTTATCTTTCTAATTCTTTAAATTGTAGGGTTAAATAGTTTATTGTAAAATTTTGTTTTGTTTTTTAAAGTAGGCCTGTAGTGCTATGAACTTCCCTCTCAGGACTGCTTTTGCTGTGTTCCAGAGATTTTGGGTAGTTGTATGTTCATTTTAATTTGTCTCCAGGAAGTTTTTTATGTCTTTCTTGATCTCATTGGTAACCCATTCATTGTTTAATAACATTCTATTTATCCTCCATGTGTTTTAATGTTTTTGGGTGTTTTTACTGTAGTTTATTTCTAATTTCATGCCATTGTGATCTGAGAAGATGCTTGATATGATTTCAATCTTCTTGAACTTGTAGAGACTTGTTTTATGTGGTCTATCTTTAGACCTGTGTGCACTTGAAACAAATGTATATTCTGTAGTTTTGGGGTGAAATATTCTGTAAATGTCAATTAAATCCATCTGATCTAGTGTGTCATTTAGAGTCACCATTCAGAATCCTATTCCTTCTCAGCCTCTCCTTCCTCATCCTGCTTCCCACTCTCTCTCACAGGTTTCAGCTGAGGGAATTCCCTTCATTAACCCCTCATATAAGGAATTCCAGCTCTGGCTCTGCTTCTAAGGAACCTGGCAATTCACCACCTTAGAATATATTGTACATTTAATTCCATGTTTGGTGATAACTTATCTTGCTTGAAGGCAAATAGATGCCTTTTACTTATTTATATTTTCTCTAATAGCAAGCATAGAGTTTTGCAAACAATAGAGTTTGTTAACTGCCGAAACCGGTTTGGTTCGGTGGATAGAGCGTCGGCCTGCGGACTGAAGGGTTTCTAACTCTCTATCTCTCTCCCTTCCTCTCTGTAAAAAATCAATAAAATATATTAAAAAAAAAAAAATAGAGTTTGTTAACTTCTAAGAATAAAGTAATTTGAACTAATGGCAACTACCAAACACTGTACTTTGGTAGCCTGATTAAAGAGGAAGATTAGTCCTTCATTTATCAAGGGTTTTCATTGCCATTTTGTTCCTCCCTGGAATTGCTAGGTTGAAACTTCCTGTCAAATGTTATCAAGGCAGCCCACCCAAGACCTGGTGCTTTATGTTACCTGACAGGTGATCTGCAGCAGAGCATAAAACTGTCAGCATTGTTCTTCAGCTGTGCTTTGAGAGCAACTCCAGGACAGCCATCCCCATCACAGAATCCAGCTCCGAGGGAAGAACCAGCCCCATTTTTGTCTGTGAGCAAGTCCCCTTCCTGAGGGGACCCAGGGATTTCTGCTGTGATTATTTAGCATATAAAGGTTCTCAGGAAATGAGTAACTCTCCCAAGTACTTCCTCTTACCTGTGGAAGTTACAGTCTTTCCCCTCCCTTGTAAACAGCAAGTACTTGATGATCAATCCTTGTACAGCCATCTGAATGCTTTGGGCACCTCCCTGCAAAGGGGAAGATGAATGGTAAGGCTGGGTGCAGGGCTTTACACTTCTCAGGACTGATGTTCCAAGGGAGAACTCATGCAAGTGAATGTCATGCTCTGTTCTTCTGTGCAGCCCTTCCCTCCTGGTGTACAGCATCCCCTAGACTGACCATGGGACATTGTACTACACTGACCTACCCTTCTCCATGGGCTGCTGCCAAGCTGGAATCTGCAGTGATCAACTTCTTTATGGAGCACTGGCACCTGGGGATATATGCCCTCTTCCACCCTGCCTCCATGGTGCCCCTGCTTCATATCAACTTGCACATTTGTAGGAGATAAGGAAATAGATGTCTAGCTCTTGAAATTCTGTGTGACTGGTGATCAATGACATGAATTATTGAGGTTTTGAATAAGCCAGAGAGAAGTTGCTAGATCTCCTGCCTCTAAATCCTCAGGGATGCTTAGGACTTGGGTAAAGAGCCAGGAAAATTGGAATTACAAGGAGGGGGAGAGAAGAAAAAGAAGTCTGAGTCTTTGTTACAACCCAGACAGTAAGTTATAATTGTAAACAGTCTGTTATCATTTAAGGTCAATTTTTAAATTATTGATATGTTTCTACAAGTTATTGTAATGAAAACATGTGTTACAGGAATGAGAATGAAAGGAAACATAGATAAGGAGTATGGAATTGGGGTTTTTAAAAATTGTCACCTGCTATTACCTTTCCCACTTCCAAAGCAAAAGCCAGGTCAGAAAAAGGATCATGGAACCTGAAACAAGCCTTTTTCCAATCACAGCTGAAGACATAGACCGTATTTCCAAAGAGGCTCTGCCGCAGCTTCTGAGAGGAGGGGATACAAACGGTGAGTTCAAAGGAAGATAATTCTTCTGAGACACGTTCCTCATCAATCTTAAGTAAGGCAGTGAAACCATGGAGGTGGCCTGTCCCCTTCCTACATTTAGAGCTATGCTTCTCTATTTTAATTGTAAAGTCCTATGCAAAAGATTCATGTCAGGTTCACTGAGGACATTTTATCCTCAAAGCTCAGTGTGCCAACCCTAAACCTATATCATCCCTATTTGATGAAAGGGTCCTTGTATCCTCTTTCATTGCTAGCCATCTCTCCTTTTATCACACACAGTACACTCCAGGCTGTGGCTCTGTCCTTGTGCTGCTGTCCCTATATTCATGACTTGCTCCAGAAAAAAAAAGAAGCCCAGCTGGTGTGGCTAAGTGGTTGGGCATAAACCTATGAACCAGGAGGTCACAGTTCAATTCTAGGTCAAGTCACATGCGTGGTTTCTGGGCTCTATCCCCAGTAGGAGGTGCACAGGAGGCAGCAGATCAATGATTCTCTCTCATCATTTATGTTTCTATTTCTCCCTCTCCCTTCCTGTCTCTGAAATCAATTAAAAAATAAAAAAATAGAAAGAAGTAAACCTAAAGGAGGAAATATCTTGCTCTCTCTTTTTTTAAAGGAATATATAGGACTGTGTTTCTGGCCTGAGTACAATAGTGGTTTCAATGATATTAAACAAGCATTCTCTGTTCTCTTGCCCCAGAATCTTTAAGGTTTTCCAGAGTACTTGATAGTACATTGAGATTTGAAACCATCAAAATGGAAACAAGCCTTTATAAACCAAACACATGAAAAAAAGGGATCCATTCATAATCAGAGGTGTATTCATCATTTAGCATGTGCTAATCCTGTGTGGGCTATAGATATGTGAAAAGTCTAACATCCCACAACTATGTACAAGACAGAGGTGTGAAATTCCACAAATCAAGTGCAAAGTACCATGAACGAACAAAGGAAGGAGAGAGAACCTCTGACTGAAGTACTTGGGAAGGCTTTGGAAGAGGTGGCATTTCAACAAGGCTGGCAAATGACATCTAGCATTTATTGAGTATTTTTATGCACCAGGCACTGGGCTAAGTGCTTTATATTCACTATGTTAATTTAATTCTTTGAAGTAGGTACATTATTACCCCCCTTTTACAGAGAAGTATTTGCCAAAGGTCACCCAACTAGTAGAAGCAGAGCTGGAATTTGTGCCCATTCTAACACCACTGGTTGCCTCCCCAGCTTTAATCCTGTATGTGCCACCTGTGACTGCCAACCAAGGAGAGGGAGCAGACGGGCACAGAGGCTGCTCTTAGAAGACACAGACTTAGTGTGTACCATGGCCAAAGAGGGCCACCAGCCCGGGACATCCCCAGCAGAGGACTGAAAGCGACAGAAAGTGGTTCCCTGCCATCAAGGCTACATAGCACAGAGGAAAGGCTGATGAGTGCAGAGAAGTCCCAGTTATGCTCCTACTGACCATGTGAACTCGACAGGTTGCCCAGCCGCTGTAAGATTTATTTGCTTATCCCCAAATGGGGAGAACCCCTGCTTGATTAACATGGTTATCCTTGAAAGAGAAAAGGTAAGAAAAATGGCTTTAGGACCATAACTGCTGAGTAAACGGAGGGTGTTACTACCTTTGTGAAATAGCTTGTCTGCGCTGAAACATCTTATGCAGTAGGAAGAAAGTCCTAACACAGGGAAAAAGACTGGAGACTGACAGGAATGAGGGAGAAGCTGTGTGTGAATGCAGAGATTAAGACTGCTGAGACTAAAAAGGCTTAGAATACAAATTCAATTAGAAAAATTCTGCAAGTCAAACCATCCCATCTCCTGTTTCTGTTGCAGAGTGTCACCATCCAGATGTACCTGGGGAGGCCTAGGACAGAGGCCTGCAGGCCTCTCAGGCCAACCCCCACTGGTTAGAGTGACAGAAAAGGTGCTTCATCTTACTGTTTATTTTACATCAAATATAATTTACAACAAGATTAACCTGAGGCATGTTCAGTGACATACATATGTTGCTCTGCTGCCTGGTAACTAGACACAATGGTAAGTGGTCTTAATAAATGACTGTAATGATCATTACTATTTAATACAGCCAAGTACAGTTTATAGTTTTTCTCTTTTCACTTTGTTTTCTAGGATTTGTAATGGATACCTCTTTCCTGTTTGCTGTGATGATGATAATGATGACGATCATTAACACACACACACACACACACACACACACACACACACACACACACTCACCCGGTTTAAATTCCTTATCCCAGCTATTTGTCCCTTGTCACTGGGCTTAGAGTTTCCTTGGGACAACCTGGTCCAGTCCAGTCCTCTTCTACCCCCCACCCCTACCCAACATGAAGTAGAATAATTCTCTTTGAAACTCCATCCATAAATCTTTTCTTGTCTTAAAAATTACTGGCCCATCATGGAACAGAGATTGTCAGAATTAGTGCCTCTTAGCCTATCAGACTAGGCTCTTGGAGGGGTTGTGTTCGCCATAGATTTGTCCACATTTGGAGTAGTGCCTGGTACAGAGTAGCTCACAATAAGCATTTGTTGAATAATTTTTTAAAAATCTAATTCAATCCTTTCATTTTACATGTAAAGATCTTGAGGCCCAGAGCAATTAATTGGGATGCCCAAGGTTACATAATTAGTAAATGGCAGTGCCAGGACCCAAATGCAATCCTTTCAACATATACCAGTCAGGGTCCCAGCAGGAAACAGTGGCTCTCTCAAGTCAGGATAATTAACTTGAGGAAAGTTTAATACAGGAACTATTTACAAAGATGTGGGATACTTACGGGGAAACCACAATGACTAATGGGGGGGTGGAGGGGGGAGTGGTTACCTGAACCAAGAAGGAGAGTCCAAGGGAGGGGACTGCATTGGAGGAGGGGGATCCAACCAGCTCTGCACAACCTGACTTCATTCTCTTCCCTCCCTCCAGTCTCCCTCCAGGGTTCCCATTGGATAAACTGGACAGGAAGCCAGAGGAGGAGGGAGCACTACAGTCAGTCTCATAGGCAGAAAGCAGGATGGAGCAGGTTAAAGGGTGCATCTGAAGTGGCACAAGAATGATACCCACCATCTCATGCTGAGATGCCTCTCCAAGGGATCATCCAGGCAGTGAATTAATGAAGTAAGTAAACATATCCTGGGGCCCATCTATCAGCCAGACCTTATGCTGGGGCCACCAGGCTGTGCTTCCTGCTCCCCCAAAGCCATCTCTTTGCCTGCTGCCCTCTATTCTCTATTACAGCTTCATCTATTACAGTCTCCCCAGAATATTTGCTCTCCCAGCATTACATGCGGTCCAGCCAGTGTAGTGTGATCCTGCTGGGTAGAGTTGCAAATACACCAAGGTTTGTTTATTGGCTGCCAATAAAAGAGGCTACAGGAGTGTGTTCCAGGATGGGTCCCGGAGAAGGGCCTGGTTGTGGAGGAGGATGGAAAATTGCCACTGGAGGGAAGGAAGGCAGTGACGTGAGGCTGGTGGAAGAGCCCAGAGGCAGGTGCACCCCTTGTCCACGAGCTCAATGGGGCCAGCAGTCCTGACCAGAGTTCACTGCAGCACATCCACCTAAGATGTTAGATTGCGAGAGGAAGAAGGCTATAATATTGGAAATAGGGCCACAAAAATGTGAGAAACAGGAGAGCTGGGGAAAGCAAGGGTACGTAGGGCCCTTTACCTACCCCTACTTCCTGAGCAGATTCCCAGCAAAGAGTGTGTGCCAATGGCAGGAAATCCCACACATGCCTACTTCAAACAGAGGGGGAAGAAGACAGCAGAATGGTGACAAAATGCATGCTTCAGGGGATGTTAGGATTCAATAGCTCTGATAATTTGCCAGGCAGCTGCACTGCCAAAACGTGTAGAATTGGCCAAGCTTCCAAACGACCTCCTGGGACACATGTATTCAGAGCCCCAAGGTGTCATCTTCAAGTCCCAGGGAGTGTTTAATTAATGGGACCACAAATTAAAGGACACCCTATTATCTGGCCCACATAATGGGAATAAGTCTTTTTTTTTTTTTTTGAAAGAAAAATCGATCATGTCTACTTCTGGGACTTCCTTAATACTCTATCAATCCATTTCAGGCTATAGTGGTCCGATTCCTTTGTCTCCCTGTCTTTTCCAAAGGAAGAGAATTGCGATGGGAAAGTCATTGGGGAGGTGTCCAATTGCGTTGTGTTTGTGTTTGTGGAGAAGGGAGAGAATTCAGACCCAGACTCTTCTGCCTCCACTGAACAGAGGGAGACTGGAAGGCTCCGAAAGTATCTGTGAATGCTTTTTTCTATTTTTAAAGTTTGTATGTGTGTTTTAAAAATAGATTGTACATTCACATGGTTCAAAATCCAGAGTAAAAGAAGGCCACCAAGAAAGACTCTCTCACACCCGTGCCTCTGGTCCCCGTGCTCCCATGGCTCCACGCTATGCACTCGTCTGGAATTTCTGCAGCATACACAGGCAAATACCAGTAGAGAATCATAGTTTTTCTGTTTTTCACACAAAAAGTAGCCTATTCCCAGATATATATAAATTTTAAAGTGACATTCTCCATAAGCATTTATTTCAATACTACATTTTTTTATTAGAGGGTGTTCATTAAAAGCATTATCTTGGCCAGTAAATACAGCTAGTTGCTCTAACTTTTGTTCCTCTAGCATAGTGTGGCCGCGTAACCACGGAGGCTGGTTACACTCACAGTATGACGCATCACCTGTCTTCATTACCCAAAGGGGAGGATTCACTAGATAGATACCTAAGACACAAATGAAGGCACCACCCAGCGGCTGGGAGGCTAGCAAGCAAAGTGTAGCATCTTATGAGAGCCTTGCTGACCTATCTTCTGTGATGTCTGGCGTTCGAGTAGAAGAGGGAAGGTGTATTGAGGTGGAAAGACTTTTGATGAGAAGGAGCAAATAGGTCTCCATTACACTTGTACTGCACATGTGACAGTGGGGCCTGTGAGAACATGCATGATAAAAAGCAATGGGGTGAGGGAGGTGAGGGTGGGGCCAGAGTCCCTAAATCTGATGTTTCATCTGGGGAGCTTAAGGAAAGGCCATATTCAGAGCAGGAAACACTATGGTCTGGCCGGCTCCACTTCTGTGCTCAAAAAGCAGGTACAGCCCTGGCTGGGTGGCTCAGTTGGTAGGAGCGTCATCCCATACACCAAAAGGTTATGGGATGATGCTTGGGGCACGTAGGGGAGGCAACCAATCCATGTTTCTCTCTCATATTGATGCCTCTCTCTCTCCTCTCTCTCTCTCTCTCTCTCTCTCTCTCTCCTTCCTCTCTCTAAAATCAGTAAACATATGCCTGGGTGAGGATTTTTTAAAAAACAGGTGGAGACTGTGACTCCCCCTGAAGGGGTTCCAGGCCCCCTCAATAGCCCCCTCAGCAGGGGCCAAGGGTGGTGCCGGCCCATGGAGCTATGAGCACAGGGCACCTGTTGCTGCTGTGTGCTCAGGTGGCCAGGCTCGGCCCGGAGGTTTCTGCGCCCGTGCCCAGGTGTCGGACAGCCTGTGGTCAGGAGGGGGTGCTTCTTCCCCCTCTTGCTCTTAGGGTCTGGGGAGAGGTCTGCCCTGGGGGCTACATTGGAGGGCCGTGCAGTTGGAGGGCTCTCTCACCCTAGCAGGGACTGTTTTCCTGGCTCCGTCCTTGGCTGAGCTTCCCCAGTTTCCAACGTGGCTCTTTGACTACAACAGCTGGTTCTTTGGACACTTGCCAAAGCCCTGTCTCCAGCCCTGACCTGTTTAGTCCAGTGAGTTGCTGTTGGTCCTGCCTCCTAGCTGGGTCTCCATAGCCTTTTGCCCCCACCCTGGCCAAATTTTGAAATAAGCAAATGGTCCTTAGGACCCGAAGCTTCCAGATCTACTTGGATCCTCAAGTATCAGGTTCTTTTTCAAATCTGCCTATTAGTTGGCAGTCCCAGAAAATCTTTTTTTCCTGAGATCAGCTCTTGCCCAGGACTGGGTCTGGCACAGGTCCCCACCTCCCTTCCTCCTGCCCACGCTCGGACAGGGTCCTGTCTCACCCCTCGACATTGTCTTGCGCATTTGCAGCACTCCCCAGCCAACCTACCTTACCCTACTTTATATGGTGACTCATCTGACTTTACTCCCTCAAATTTAACTGTCAGGTCCAGGAAGCGAATAAAGAGAGACTCATAATTTGGGAGGAAAAGACTGTAACGTCAGCAGTGCCCTTGAAAAATACTATAAATAAGTCATTTTAATTATATCCTCCTTCTACCAATAACAACCGTCTGTAGTCTTATCTTCATAATGCTCTCACATGACAGCAGATAAGATTCTCCAGCCCTGTTGTTTGGGGAAGATTACGTTTCATTTCATGTTTAATTGACAAGCTGTACTCACCGTGGCCATTGCTAGGGAGATAGGAAAGCTGCTCGATTTTGAAGAGATGATAGAGGGCTTGGGAGTAGAACAAGGGCCACTTGATGGCAAGAGTCCTTGTCTTTTGGGCTGAGGTGTTCCTGATCCATCTTCACTCTTAGCAGCAGACACATGGCTGCCTTCATGATTCTGAGTAACATGCCACCACCAAAAATAAAGCAAACAGTGCTGTGATGACCTCTCCCCTTTTCTTTCTTTCTCTCTGAAATAATTTTTATCAGAAAATGTTTTCTCCCTTTTCAAGATGTTTGAAAATTGTGATACATAACAATGAAAGAGGCAGAAAAACGCCAGTGTCTGCGTCAAAGGGGCTTCTTCTAAGTTTGATGTGACTCGAGGAGGTTAAGTGCAACTATGGAAACATGATTAATGCTATCAAGACCTTGACTCGAAATTATGTTTAGAGAAGAATATAAATGTCAGTGTGTCTCGTTGTGAGAGGACACCATCTTATAAATAACGAGTAACTCTTTCAAGTCTATACAAGGTATTTTTTATTATATTGTTAACTGGCCAGTAAATGAAGTCAAGTTACCTCCCTTTACTTTTCTCAGATTCCTATTCCCCAATAAGTGAGTATAATTTTCTCCTTCCTTTTTTAAAAATACATTTTTATTGATTTCAGAGAGGAAGTGAGAGGGAGAGAGAGATAGAATGATGAGAGAGAATCATTGATCAGCTGCCTCCTGCACTACTAGGGATCAAGCCTGAAACCTGAGCTTGTGCCCTTGACTGGAATTGAATCCGGGGCCCTTCAGTCCACAGGCTGATGCTCTATCCACTGAGCCAAACCAGCTAGGGCAAATTTTCTTCTTTAAAAAAAAATTCATGCCCCATCTTTAAGGCAAAAAATCTATTTTTATTTTTTGTGACTGATTTTATGGCATTTAAATATGTTAGCATCATTTCTTCTTCCAATTTACTTAACTTCTACACTAATGTTGTGAAACAAATCTGCCCTATTGGTAGCTGAAGCATGAAAGAAACTGCTTTCTTAGTTTTTCTGGATTCCTAGAGGCAAAGATGCTTTCTTATCTCAGAAATATAGCATCCAAGTCACAGGCTACTGATGGGATAAGATGCATTTTGTAAATCAAATGGAAAATCTTTACCTTTGTGCCAGGGGTTTCCACCACTGGCGTAAGGCATAACTTGGCATTTATTTATTTATTTTCTTTCAAAGATTATTTTATCATTTGAGCATTCTATTTCCCCAAATGTCAGCTATCTCCATTTAATACTTCCAGGACTAAAATACAATCACTATCTCCCTGATTCTCATTTAGACTACAGTTAAGAGAGTAGCACAAATAAGGCTTTTGATCACAGGTTAGTTGGGGCAAGATGCTTTAGTGTTGTGGTTAAAGTATTAATAATTCAATTGTTTGATCATATCATATACTACTGAAAATCACCTTAATATTTTGTGCTGTGTTTATTCAATGATTGAATTAGTCTCTAAATACTAAGTCTATTACCTTCTAACCTTTTCAGGTGACATGAAATACAAACATTTTTTATCTTACATTGTATAACAGATTTTAAAATACTTTCTTAACACCAGAGTTCTGTCATCTTTCTCTCCTTTGAAAATGGTGAAGGAAAACAATTTCTCAGAAGTTGAATAAAGGTAAGTGTTTTCAAAACTGCTTTTCTTCAGGGACACTGAGCTCTTTGTTCTCAGAATACGGTGTCATTTCACAAGTGTGGGAACTCTAGATTCTAATATTACTTTTTTCTAAAATAATAACCATATGGTGCTTTAATGATGAAAAATAGCTCTTAAAAGTAGAAAGAGATCTGTATGAGAAAAGAAAGCACAAGAAAAGATATTCAGCAGGCTTTCTAGCTGTACGTTTTCACATGTTAAATGCTGGTGCCTGAGTGACACTATGTGCATAGAATAAGTGGGTTTTGCTGTTAACGTGGTTGTTTGAAGAAGCAACTAGAAGAAAACACACTGGCTTTGAGAAAAGTAATTACCTGAGGAGTTGTATTATTGGTTCCCAACCTAAAGATGAAAGAGAAACATCAAGAAAATTACTCACTCTTTTCTACCCTCACATGGAAACCTCCTCAACCCAGCCTTGCTGGGAAAGCCTTTTTCTGCAAATAGTTATACCTGAAGTGTTTTAAATGTAAATTGATAATGGAGACTTTTCATGGAGCAAGCATAAAAGCTGACTACTTAAACACCTAAAATCCCTTTGGTTCTATTTCTAGAAATAGAAAAATGAGAAAATGAGAGCATCTTACCTGTGATAACTAAAGATTTCCCTCCATTTGTCAAGAAATGAAATTTTCCTAGTTATCTCCTCCAAATCCAGCTCCTGGGAGCTTTGTTCCTGGTCCAGGAATGCCACAGCCATTTAGTTATATAATGTACAGAAATGGAAGAAGGAAGTAGTTAAGATGGGTGAGAGGTCTGGCAGTGGAGAGGTGTGGTGGCTGTCACAGGTGGCCAGGTGAGAACTGCTACCCCTACCTTTGACCAGCAAGGAGATCACACCACAGTTGCTGCCCTGGGCTCTCTGTGAGCCCCTGTTATCAGATCCTGATTAAACTTTCATTAGAGGTGGAATACTTTGTGTATTTTTGTTCACTGTATAGATGCCATGAATGTTTAATCCAAGACACAGATTTATAAACAAAAGGATTGCAATTACTTATCTGTATCAAAGCAACTGGGATACTTTAATTGATGAGAGATGCATGCTGGTGGAATGTGATACTACCTAGTTCTGTAGTGCCTCTAGGAAATATTAGTGAACAGAAAATATGCAGCCAAAGAGGGTAAAAGCCACCCTGTTATAGCAAATAACTCTATCAACTACAGTTGTGTAATATGTAGGCCAAGGAAAACACAGGCCAACAGATATTTGATGTAGATTTTAGTACACAGAAATCTTGCACACAGTTTGTAGAAGAACTAGCTTGATTTGTTTAAGGGAGAAACAAATTGTAGTTGTAATAACAGAAATAATAAGGAAGATTGATGGTTGTGATAGTTAATTTTATGTGTCAACTTCCTAGGCTATGGTAACCGTTTTTGGCCAAACACCAGTCTAGTGTTACTGCAAAGGTATTTTTTACTTGTTATTAACATTTAAATAGATTTTGAGTAAAGAGGATTATTCTGCATTATGTGGGTGAGCCTCATCCAATCAGTTGAAAGTCTTAAGAGAAAAGACTGGGGTCCCTAAAGGAAGAAGGAAGTCTATCTCCAAACAACTTTCTGACTAGAGCTGCAGCATCACCTCTTCCTTGGGTCTCCAGCCTGCCAGCCGGCCCTGTCAGTATATTTCAGAATTGCCAGCCTCACAATCATATGAGCCAATTTCTTAAAATAAATCTCTCTCTCTCTCCTATCTTATTGGATCTGCTTCTATGTAGCACCTTGAGTAATACAGTGGTGTTCATCAAAAACAAACTGGTGCCCTAGCCAGTTTGGCTGAGTGGATAGAGCATCGGCCTGTGGACTGAAGGGTTCCAGGTTCGATTCCGAAGGGCACGTGCCTGGGTTTCAGACTCAATCCCCAGTAGGGGGCATGCAGGAGGCAGCCAATCAATAATTCTCATCATTGATGTTTCTCTCTCTCTCCCTTCCTCTCTGAAATCAATAAAAATATATTAAAAACAAAACAAACAAAAAAAACTGGTTACCAGTAAGTATTCTTGTCTTTTCTGTCTTGGTTGAATACTAAAATTGAACCTCTTCAGCAGGAGGTCATCTTATATAATAAAGAGCTAATATGTTAATTAGACTGAACAGCTGAACGACCTTCCAGACGACCTTCTGGATGAAGCCAGTGTTGTGAGGGCCAACCAGGGCTGCTAGGGCCAAGCCCCTTGCACGAATTTCTTGCATCGGGCCTCTAGTTTTCTCTATAAACATTTTTGATCATGAGTTTTGTAAAATCCTGGGAATCCTAAGAGGTCAAAGAAAAGAGGTGCTTTGGATTTATTATGACTCAAGTGGTCAGGGCTGAGGGGACTGCTTATATATAACATTGTAAAGACCTTGAAACACAGCAAGTCACTACATAAACCAGAGATGAATTTAGGTGTCCACAGTTTTGCCTGGGTTTCCAGTTTTTTTACACCTCCAGTTTCTTAAGCTAATTTTTGGTGATTGTTTAACCACTTCACAGATCCCATAAGTTTCCACCAGATTTAGTATTTTTATTGTAAATATAGAGGGCATAAAAATTCTAAGTTTTCTCCTTTTTAAAAAAAAGCTTTATTTGTTGTCCTCTTTATAATTTTATAGTTTTAATGGTAGTATCAGCATTTAATACTTATTGCTCCCCACAGTATAAAAAATATAAGAACTTACTGGATTTTTGCTGTCAAATAATATCATGGTCAGAAATGTCTATGAATTTTCTATTCAGAAAGTCATATTAAAAATTAATTCTGGGCCTGCTATTTAAATTATTTAACAACCCAAAGCTAAGAAAATTATTTTTCTTAAGAGACATTATTAAATATGTGTATTTTGGGCTATGTCTGTGTCTAATTTACAGAATTCTGTGATGGCAGAAGTATAAATCTTAATGATTAGGCCACCTACCAATAAACCATTCTATTGTTTCAAAAAATAGATTTGGGGTTCAATGAACATATTTTGAGTATTTCCTGTGTGCCAGACACTTGGAGATGCCAAGGCAGGTAAGATGTGGTTCATGCTCTTCTAGTGGAAGAAACAGACACATGCAAAAAAGAAAGTGCTTCGTGGACAGTGGCTAGGGGACTGTGGGAGCTCAGGGGACAGGAAGAGAGAGAGAGAGAGAGGAAGAGAGAGAGAGAAAAAAGCATGGCTTCTGGGTCCAAACTCTTAGTTTTGAATCATGGTTTCACCTCCTACTAGCTTTATGGCCTTGGACAAATTATTTAATCTCTCTATGCCTCAGTTTATTCATCTGTGAAATGGGCATAATTTCTTACCTTTACTATATTGAGACTTCTTCTAATCTATGAAAATGGCATATCACTTATTTAGACCTTTTTTATCTTCCCCTTGTTTAATTCCTAGAAATGGGATGCCTGAATCAAATATAGTAATTTTAAAGACTTTGCTACATATTGTCAAATTTCATCCTTGTTCTTGAGCATTCCTTGCTAAGCCCCTTTTATCCCTTTTATTCCCGACTTAGAATTCATGGTCCCACCCCTTTCAATAAAGAAAATGCTGACTTTACTTCCCTACCTTTCTCTCTCTTCTCAGTTAGATGTTGATAAGGGCTCTACAGATGGAAGGGCTGGTCTCTGGAATACACCAACACTTAAGCACATCAGAGGAAACCACCATTTTCTTGGGCATTTTGTCCAAAGACTTAGAGTAGGAGTCCAGGCTGTAAGAAGTGGGGTGGAAAAAAAAAATGGGATTTGGGGGTACTGATCCAGATCTGGAGGAATAAATAGGGCAGGGAGGGATACAGAAATATGTCAAATCTGGAATTGCCCCTTCAATATTCATAATGCCTTGCCTCCACCACATGACATATGAAATCACCGAAAACTTCTGTCCTAAAACTGCCCCTGACACATCAAAGGCTTGGGGTAGCAATAGGCCTGCAGTGGCAAAGGGAAAGAGCAAGGACAAAGCAGGGGCCATGGGGAGGAGGGGAGTTTTGCAGCCATGTGGTTGGTTGGGGGAGGGGGGGAGGAACAGTAGAGATTGCTCCCTATAAAGGAAATGCACTGAGTAAGTGCAGGAATCTGTGCCTTAACCCATCTGCTTTCTTTGCTGATATTTTGAAAAAAATAATAGCTCTGATTTCATGAGAAAAGCTAGTATTTATTCCAAACTTGGAAATTGGTATGTAAAAATTTAATGTTACTAACATTTTCTGTAGTTTCCCAGAAAGCTATGACTGATCTTTATAATCATTTACTCAATTTAGTCTTAAACTGAGATTTGAAAAACGTTGGGCTTGCCAGCATTTTTGACTAGCTTGCAAAATTATCCCCAACCTTTTACCTTGTTGTTTTCATATGATGCTTCATAAACAGAAATTGGAAGCAGAATTTTAGAGCCATTGATTTAAAAAAACAAAACAAAATCTCATTAGTGTTTAATTAACCTTACCCCTGGAAAACTCTTCCTTAGGATTAAGTTAAATCCTTTATGCTTTAATTATCATTCATTTTCTTTACTTCTACTTTTTGTGGAGCTGGAAATTTCCTGATTATATTCCTTCCAAAAAGATTTCTGCCAATCCACTGGAAACTGGAAGATGGCTGATATATTCTCCTTTTGTTCTTTGGTGTCGGGGAGAAAGAGGGTGTCAGGCCCAGGATTAAATCCCAGGGCCTCCTCCTGACTGTGTAACCTTGGAGAAGTTATTTAGTCTCTCTGAGCTTCATTTTTCATATTTTCTTTTACTTACCTCAGAGAATCAAAATGAGTATTATTTATGTGAAAACTACTAACCTTTAACCAATGTTTTCTTGCCTCTTATATGTTAAAAACGCTCTTTTAAAAGTTTTATTTTTCTTGCCTTTATGTATGTTAGGGGTTGCAGCCTGGGCCAGGGATAGAGCTAAAAGTCAAAAGTCCTAAAGTGATATTACTGGGGCATTGGTCCTAACTCAATCTCCTAGTTACTGGCTATGTAGCCTTCTGTTGGTCACTTAGCCACTGGTGTGAGTCCCAGTCCTCATCTGAAAGGCCTAAAGACCAGTGTGGTATGATGGAAAATATATATTTGGTTATTGTCCCCAGTGCCTGGCATAGAACTCCTAAAATCCTTAGAATTTCCTGAGTTGCAAGGATGATAGGATTGTCTTTTGTTCTAATGCAGTGTGGCTGGGCCCTCGATGACTTCAAAATGAGAGCTGATCACCAGAAAGACCATGTCTTGATGAGAAGCCTGACATTTTCAGCCCCAGACCCCAATCTCTAGGGAGGAGAGACAGGTTAGAGGTTGAGTTCATCTCTAATGGCTGATGATTTAATCAATCATGACTATGTAGTGAAACCTACATAAGGACCCTAAA